GATACCCAGGGGACGCTGGCTTCGCAGGCCCCCATAGAATCACCTGTGTGTGCCACGGGCTCTGCCGCTGGTCCCACTTCAGGGAACACACGTAACCACTGGCTCTTTCTTCTTTAGTGACTGATGATTTCCACACAGCTGTGTGGTAGCTTGATAAAAACACAAATTTGGACTTGGCAGTCTTCTCCAACATCAGTCATTCTAGAAAAAAAATTCCAATTTTTACCATATCTGGATACTTGCTACTGGCACTATTGGATACTTAATGTTTCTTTAAATTGATTCATTTCTTAAACTTAAATAAATGTATTTTAAAAGGCCCTTTGATCACTACTATAAAGGAAAACCAGAATCACTCACTTACCATAAATAGATTACTCTAAAAATAAATACAAAACGAATACATTGAAAATGTATGTCCTTGTTCTACCTAAAATCAAATGGTATGTCACCAGTATGCATAACTCACTTTGGTAAACATGGGATTAGGTGGAGAAAAGAGCAGAGAAAACGAGGGAAATGCATGAAGTTTAGAATATTCACTGGGAAGGAATGCAGTTTATTTCAGGTACGTCCTGTGTCTTGCAGTGGGTTGTGGCTACTAGGAAGTGGCAGAATTCTCAGCACCGTGGCCATTGGCCATCTCCCCCGAGCTTTCTCCTGGGGCCAGCCTCCCCCTGAAGCTCTCTGATGGAGGCCCCTCTGGCCTCTGTTGAATGTGATTGAGTGACGGGGACTTGGTACCTCCAGCAGCCTGTGCTGGTGGTTAGAAAAGCCTCGTGTTTACCTGGAACCACCTCCCTGGCCTCTGGGGGCAGCACCAGCTCAGTCTTTGTTCTTCTCCACAAGCTCCTCATGATTCCTCCAATTATTTGAAGGCCTATTCAGGAGATGTTTCCAAGGACAGTTGCTTCAGGCTTATTAGCCTGTGCTTTTTGGAATTCATTGTGTGGCCTGCCATGGTGAATGATGGCAGAGGGGCAGTGCACACGCATGTGGCGTCCCCTGCTGGCAATGCTCTCACCCCTTCTGCTGCACCCCCTAACCTGATTGACCCCTCTTGCCCTTCAGATCAAAGCTCAACACCTCACCTCCTCCAGGAAGCCTTCCCTGACCACCACCAACCCACGAGGTCAGGCCTCAACAGCCTCCTGCACTTTTCCCGCCCTGTGCTTTATCACAGGGCCTGGCTGTGTGTTTGTGAAATTATCTGGTGAACATCTGTCTTCTGCATTGGACCAGGAGCTTCACAAGGGCGGGGACTATATCTCCTTCACTCATTGTATCCCCACTGTTTGGCCCACAAAGGGCTAGATACCAAGTTACCAGGTCACTGGGGCAAGAGTCCCCTTGTAAGACAGTGGACTGTCTCCAACAGGGCTAGACTGAGTTTCCTCAACAAAACATTTCCTAATGTTTTTTTTCTTTGAAGCACGGATAGATAACTTACTACGTCCAGGCACTGTCCTTGATGCTTAACTTGTGTGATTTCATTTCAACACTACCCGAGAACTTGAGCTCATTGCAACACAGACTGAGACTTGAGCTCAGTCCGTCCATTCTGCTGGTCACATAGGGGCTGCCTCAGTTTCCACTACCCCCAAGCCCCAACTCCGAGATGGAAGGCAAATTCCATCTGGACTCCCGTCCTCACAGGCAGTGTTCAAACTGGTGGGTAAGATTTCTCCGGCTTGTGAATGCTTCAAGGTCATCGTTTTGGTTTTCCTTGATTTTGGTTTGTGTATTTATTCATTGGTAAGCCCTACCTAGCATCTGAATTCCAGAGAGGAAGCTTGCGGAATAACTGTCGCTTTCAGAGCTTCTGTCCCATCAACATCAGGACACTCACCCTGTCACAGGAGTCCAGTTTCTCAGGCCTGTCTGGCCTCTGACCAGGGAAATTCCTGACTGGACCTGAGAGCAGATCTGGAACACATTTGATGTCTGAGGCTTTTCTTCCACTGGCAGAATCTTCTGAAAATATTTTGAAGCTTTTAATAAGATTTTTGTGTTAGTTGAGTTAGTTGAGTGCTCTGTTTTCTTTAAAAATTTATTTATGTAAGACAATGTGAATCAATTTAAACGATAATATGAATAATTCATGTTGATATCGCAAAAGGAGACCCACCAATGACTCGAGTTTCGGCAACACTGAAGCGGATTGTACTGCCCCCCCAGCTCTTTTCCTTGGTGACCAATGACAAGTCCTATTGGCCGTGCCTCCAAAGTGTCTCCAGACGCGGACAGCCATGCCTTAATTCAGAACACTGATCCACTCAGTAAGCTTTTGTTGATCATCAGCTAAGTGCCAGTTATCAGTACGGGGCCCCCTACTCAGGGAGCTCAGACATTTCTGGTGGAGTGGGATAAGAGAACGGACCAGTGTAATGCACTTGGGTGCGTGCATTGCTGGGGGTAATCACAGAGGGTTTGGGAGGGCCGCGGAACCCAGCCAAGGGGCCCAGCCGGGGCCTTGAAAGGTGTTCACCTGAGCTGAGTCCTGAAAGACTGGTAGGAATTGGCCAGCAGATGTAGGGAGGCAAGCAGGCAGAAAGCACAGCATGTGCCCTTGGGTCACCCTCTCTGTTGCCCTCCATTCCTTTTGTAGATCCATGATTTCCATTTCATAGCATTTTCCTTTTGCCTAAAGGACTTCCTTTTACATTTCTTGTGTGTGGATCTGTTGGTGATGAAGCCTTTTAGCTCCAGATATCTGAAAATGTCTTTATTTCACCTTTGTTTCTGAAAGATAATTTTGCTGGGTATAGAATTCCAGGTTGGTGTTTTCCCCATTTCAGTATTTGAAAGGTGGTGCACCACTGTCTTCTCACTTGCAGTGTTTTCAATGAGAAATCTAATGTCTTATCTTTGTTTCTCTATATATAACATGTCTTTTTTTTTCTGGCTATTTTAAGATTTTCTCCTTGTCACTGGTTGTGAGCAATTTGATTATGTTGTGCCCTGATGTAGTTTTCTTCATGTTTCTTGTGTTTGTGTTGGTTGGGATCTTGGATCTGTGGATTTATCACTTTTGTTTTTGGAAAATTTTCAGCCATTATTTCTTCAGATATTCTTTCTGTCTCCTTCTCTCTCGTCTCTCTTTCGGGGACTCCAATTACATCTGTATCAGCTCCCTTGAAGTTATGTCATAGCTCACTAATGCTCTATTCATTGTTTTTAAATTATTTTTTCTCCTTGTGTTTCATTTTGGGTAGTTTCTATTACTGTCTTCAAGTTCATTAATCTTTTCTTCTGCATTGTCTAATCTGGCATTAATCTCATCCAGTGTATTTTTTATTCCAGACATTGTAGTTTTCCTCTTTAGAAGCTTGGTTTGGGTCTTTTCTTTTATCTTCCATGTCTCTACTTAACTTTTGGAACATATGGAATATGGTTATAATAGCTGAGGTAATGTCTTTGTCTGCTAATTCTCACATCTGTGTCAGTTTCGATTGATTTTTCTCCTCATTATGTGTGATATTTGTCTTCTTTGTGATACTTGTCTGATTTCTTTTTTTTTTTTTTTTTAAAGATTTTATTTATTTTATTTTTCCCCCCAAAGCCCCAGTGGATAGTTGTGTGTCGTAGCTGCACATCCTTCTAGTTGCTGTATGTGGGACTCGGCCTCAGGATGAACGGAGAAGTGGTGCCTCGATGAGCACCCGGGATCCGAACCCGGGCCACCAGCATCGCAGCGCACGCACTTAACCACCAAGCCACAGGGCCGGCCCAAGATTTTTTTTTTTTTTTTTTTTTTTTTTTTTAATGGCATACCAGACGTTGTGAATTTTCCCTTTTTGGGTGCTGGATATTTTTGTATGCCCATAAATATTTTTGAACTTTGTTCTGGGATGCAGTTAAATTACTTGAAACAGTTTGCTCCTTCCACAGCTGATTTTAAGATTTGGGAAGCAGCACCAGAGTAGGGTTTAGTCTAAGGCTAATTATTCCCCACTACTGAGAACGCTACCAAGTGCCCTGTGAATTGTGAGATTTTTCCAGTCTGGCTGGTGGGAACAGGCATGATTCCCAACCCTGTGTGAAGTCCAGGCACTATTTTCTTTCGTTTTTCGGTGCGATTCTTTCCCAGGCCTTGGATGGTTTCCTCACTCGCATGTGCTGATCAGCAGTTGACAGAATGCTGTATCCTTTGGGGGGACCCTCTGCAGATCTTGACCACTCTTCTCTGGGTAGCCCTCTCTCCCGGGTACTCTGTCCTGGGAACTCTAGCTCCATCTCCTCAACTCCGGGAGTATGCTGGGCTCCGCCTGGGTCCTCGCTCCCTGGGCCTGGTCTGGAAACTCTGAAGGTAGTAAGCTGGGGAATCACAGGGCTCACCTCATTTGTTTCCTGTGTCTCAGAAGTCATCCTTCATCGCTTGATGCCTGGTGACTTGAAAACTGTCATTTCATATAGTTTGTCTGCTTTTCTAGTTGTTTCAGACGGGAGAATATATCCAAGAGGCTGCTTTTTGAAATCATCTCCAGGCTGTGAGCATTTCTTGTGTGTGTGTGTATTTTTGTTTGCGTAGTATTTTGTTTTTTATAAGAAGTACCTCCACTGTTGAAAGTAAAACCTTCTAAATTGTGGGCTACAAAGATTTGCCAAGAGATTTACTTAGTTTTCACAGAACCAACAGTTGGCAAAATTACCTGGTTACAGAGTGTTGAGCTGCAGGTAGAATTCAGCTTATGTTCAAATAGAGGCAAGACAGTGTCAGCCTCCTCACATGTTCCGTGGCAGCCTATCAGTGATGCCTGCTGATTGATTTCAAATGGCCCAAATATGCACCATTCAGTCTCGGCCCATGGGGGGCAGCGGGAGATATATTCCAGGTGAGTTGACTTTTAATCAATATGATGACAACATCACCTTGTTTAATTTGTACGATGGTGGTTTTAAACATCAAGTCAAGCAGTGTATTATGTCAGAAAAAATGAAGGATCGCAGGAATAACACCCTCCTGACATCACTTCTGAGTGCATTTCACTGCGTCACAGGCCATCATGATTGGAGACGACATCGAGGGCGACATCGGCGGTGCCCAGCGGTGCGGAATGAGAGCCCTGCAGGTGCGGACGGGGAAGTTCAGGTGAGTGCCCCCCGCGGCCGGGCTCATCTGCCTCCCTGCCCCCTGGGTTCCCGGGGTCGCCATGTTTTTGTTCTGTTTTCTTCTCCAAAATAAAGGGGTTATTATTTCCAAGTAGAAGAGCAGTACGTGGGCATCACTGACTTCCATGTGACTGTCCTCTAAGGACAGGCCTGGCTGCCCTCTTATAGCAGAGAGTGGTAAGGGAAAGCAGCTCTTGATCCAGCTCCGAGTTCCGAAACTGGGACGTGAACAGGTGTGTAGTGGAGACAAAAAGACAGTGGCTGCGGCGTCGCAGGCCCGACCTGCAGCGAGTCGGGTGGGGTTTGGGCTGCGCCCCTTGCGGCCATGCGGTGGGATCCTGCACTGCGCGTGGAGGGTACTGCCGTGGGCGCCTGGCCCTCCTGGTCACCCTCCCTCTCCTTTTGCTCCGCCTTTGCTGATCTGCAAGCGACAGAGAATCTAGAGATGACAGATCCTCAGTCGGGGATGCTTGGAACTGAACCTCCGTCTCCAGAGGAGCTTGTGTTTTCTTTCCTGGGTCAGAAGTCAGCCTGGCCTTGAGCAGGTCGCTGGTGGACGTCTGTGGCGGGTCGGGCACTGGTGGGCACGTGGAGGTGCCCTGTGGTGACCGGCTCTGGCTCGCTCGGCTCTTGAGAGTGCCTTAGACATCGGAGTGTTGTCCTGTTGTATTCTAGATGGTTTCTGTTGTGGCCACTCAGAGAAAGTACAGTGTGTGGATGCTGCAGAGACCTGGTTAACATGGTTCCCCAGGGGTCCTTGGACTTGGGGGGAGGGGGTGTTACCTCTGTCCTGAGCTATCTGCTTAGACAGGGTCAGAGAAGTAGATTAGAGGGCTGGCTCTCACTCTGAGGCCCCTCTCCTGTGTGAGGGACCCAAAGGACCTGTGGGTTTGGGGCTATAGATGGACACAGGTGAGTGAGGAAGTCTTGGTGCACCTGGGGTCTGGGGCCAGGAAGTTCTGGAACCCACCTCCTGGACCGTCCCAGAGCATCGGAGGCCCTCTTGAAGGGCACACCCGAAATATGGACCTTCTTTCTTCCCCAGGCCCTCAAAGAAGGGTTTCCTGGGTCCCTTCAGCCGTGTCGGGCCTAATTGAGGAGACCCCACTCACAAACCTCAGAAACATTCTCTCCAGAAGGCCGGCTGGGGGCCCTGAGATCCCTAATCCCACCTTTCCCCCAAAGTTGCAGAGCCCATCTTGTTGCTGAGCAGTGGGACTAGGCACCCTTTGGGTGATGCTGTTCCTTGGTGTTGCCCGGCTCATGGTGCCGCCCCAGGGTCACTGTCCCATCAGGAGCCCAGCCCAGCAGCCGGCGCCTGCTCGGTGAGCATCATTGACTGATGAGCAAAGGAGTGATGCCTCCTTGAAGACACAGTGGTGTGGCTTAGAAGGAGGTAAAGAGTGAGAACTATAGTGTTTGGCTGAGGGCTGCTTCTGCTTTCTTGGGGGAGAAACATGTCTGTCCCAATTAAATGTGGCCTCAGTTGGGGTCTTTCTGGCCAGCCTAAGCCGTGCCCCTATAAACTGAAGGTACTGACCTTGCCCTAGGCCCCAAGCATGCCTCTTGTTGCTGGGTCTCTGCAGAAGGTCCACACACACAGTCAGGAAGCCCACACATGGGCAGGGGTATGTGGGAGGCTGTGTCCCACCTTACACCATCAGGGTTGGCACTTTTCAGAGTCTCCCATGACCCTGTCCCCCGGAGAGATAAACCCCGTTAACGGTTGGCCAGATCCTTCCAGACTGCCTTTTCTGTGTAGATAAACATATGGCTAATATTTTGGTTTTTTTCTTTTTACGAAAATGGGATTATATTATTTCATAATCGACTTTTTCTTGAATAATGTCTTATGGCATCTTTCCATGATGATTCTTCATAATTTTAAATACCTAAGGAGATGCTGTATGTGAGTACTGGTTCGTGCCTGGCACCGAGCAAGCCCTCAGCAAAGGTGAGGTGATGATGGTCCTGTTGGTGATGTCCCTCTCACTTTCAGGAGCAGCCACCCGGCCCTGAGTGGAGAGGATGGGGCTTAGCCTATCATTTCTCAATGGTGTTTAAAGTTTCACATCTTTTGATTTGCTTGTTTGTAAGGACATAAATCTGCTTTGTTAACTATGCAGGATGGAAGGAGGAGAACCGTAGCCCAGTTAAGGTAGCCAATGAGCCACCTGAGGGGGAGGTCACGTGGCAGAACAGGAGGCCAGGTTCTGTGCGTGAAAAAGCAGCGGGAGACCTCTGCCGTTGGCCACTCTGTAAAGCCAAGCTGTCCAGTACGGTAGCCGCGATCTGTGGGTGGCTGCTGAGCACTTGAAATGTGGCTGGTCCAAGTTGAGATGTGCCGGAAGTGCAAAATACACACCAGATTTCAAAGACTGGGAGAAAAAGAATGTGAAAGGGCTCATTCATAATTTTTTATACTAATTACATGTTGAAATGCTGATATTTTATATTAATTTCACCTACTTATTTTTATTTTTGTTAATGTGGCTACTAGAAAGTTCTAACTTGCCTCTGCGGCACGCATCAGGACTCAGTGCATTTCTGTTGGTCAGAGGGGCCGCTGCACTGCCCCCTTCTCCCTGCAGATGGCACTCTTGGAGCATGGACCACACCCTGGTGGGGGCATGGCCTGCTGGCCAGACCAGCTGTGTGCTCTGCGGCCCCCAGGGGGTGGGAAATCCACAGAGGCCCCCATGGCACCCTGCATGGTGCCCTCTGCAGATGTGTGTCTGGCTCAGGGCCAGTGAACAGCCTCAGACGTCAGCCAGTACCCCGGTGACTGGGCAGTATGCCTTCCTTCCATCCTTCCGGGCAGCATCCAGCTCCTTCCAGGGCCACCCTGGCCCGCCCCCAGAGCTCTCTGCTCCTCTCGAGCAGGCGGCACTAGGTTTCAGGGTCAGCATGGCCCATGTCTGCACCAGACGTAAGCCGGTCGGGGCAGGGTCTGTGTCCCGTGTGTGAGCAAGGCATGTCCTTACTGTGTGCTGGGGCCTCTCCTCTGAGTGGCCTCACAGGAGCCAAGGGCCACTGGATGGGTCATCTGGGTCTCAGAAGGCCCTGTGCACCCTGTCCTCTGTCGGTGGCCTTAGGCTAGCTTTGGCTGAATTGGAGGAGTGAGGGGCTTGGAGGATGGCCTTGTCACGGGCACAGGTGCAGAGAGCCATGCGACGAGTGAGCTCAGCGCTTACACCTGGCCATGGGGCTTCTCTGCCGACTTTGAGGCTCAGGGCAGGATGGGGAGGCTGAGCCGAGTGCGAATCTGGGCACTGTCACCCTGTAGCACTGGAAAGGGAAGGAGGCTGGAGGGGGCAACATAGGGCTTCCTGATGGCCCTGCTACAGGATGCCCCCTTAGGCCAATGTCTTCTAGTTGCGCACACGCGTGCATACACACATATGTGCTTGCACACACACACACAAGCAATTGTGTTTTGGAGGCAGCCAGTCAGATGTCTGCTGGGGAATGTGGGATTTGGACTCACCTGTGGCTGTGAGATCTCCCTGTGACCTTGGATGTCTTCATCCCCATCGCCTCTTTCTGCTTTTATCACAAAATGGCCCAACGAGAAGAGAGTGAAGCCTCAGAATTGGGAGAGGTCACAGGGTGGCCTGCGCTTGGGAAAGACAGCTTCACAGGGCCTGCCCCACCAGCAAAGCTCCGGTTTCCTTGCAGGAGAGGCCTTGTGCTTTGACTCGGGGGGCTGAGTCCCTATGCCAACCCCACACATTGGGGCAGGGAGAGGCTCCCAGGGCAGATAGCTTGCAAACATGCCTCTGTCCAGCAGGCAACCTGAGCCACGGACAGAGGGACACAAAGCTTTCTTTTCATATCTGCTCTGTTTGGAAGTCCGGCCCAGCCAGGGCACGGCCCTCATCTGGCTGGCAGGTAAAGGCCTTTTGGGCGTTCTCCCCATCTGCCCCATTCTTGGCACGTCTGACGCGTTGGGTCTGTTGGCAGAACAGTCCAGCCCAAGGCCAGGAGGCTGCTGATCCTCCAGACTCCTTGAGATCCCACCCCGACCACAGGCCCCAGACACACGAGAATGTTTCCTTCACTGGGGGCCCTATGCCCATTGATGGCAAGTCCTTCTGGTCCCAGTGAGTCCTGGAGACCCAGAGGGTGCTGGCTAAAGGGAGTCTTTTCAGATGAGGTGGCTAAAGCCTTGCCCAGGGCCACCTAGTGAGGTTTCACAGAGGCTGGGGAGCCCGTCTGCTCCTACCCCAGGTGGGTGCCTTTGCCACCACCTTTTTCCTACTGGGAACATCCTGTCCTTGTGGTCAAATTCTACAGCCACAGCAGTCACGGTCCCAGCCTCGATTCAGGGCCCACGCAGGGCCCTGTGGCTGAATGATGGGCAGCTCGGCTGGGAGGACCGGTGCCCCCACCCCTGGGCACTGTAGCCCCCCTCTCTCTCTCCCTCCTTCTCTGAGGGGGAGGCCTCATCTTCCATGGGGGCTGGGGCTGGCTTCTGTGTACCCCCATTCTGGAAAATTCAGGCAAGGGCCATTCTTCCCAGTTCTGAGATGGCCTGTCTGTCCCCAGTGGAGAAGGAACAGCTGTCAGCGTGTCTGACAGACCCTTCATACCTCCTTATATCCCCACCTGACCCTTCCTCCTGCACATGCCAGAGACGGGGCAATGTTGCCCTGACTGTTCCCGCATCGCTCTGTTCCCCGTTCTACGCTGCACACTGCAGCCGCCACCCTGGTTCTTAAGCACAATTGTAGATGTCACTGTTTCAAAGTGCCTCCTCCCCCGTCATGTAGTTGCTGTGTGAATAAACCAGCTACATGGAGCCGGCACGGGATCTTTCTGATTTGTTGTTTGCTCAAGGCTGGAAGATGGTTTATGAGCCCAGAACATTTCTCACCAACAGTTTGCCCTTTTGGACTTGAGAGGGAGAGTTTCCTGGGACTGGGATTCCAGATGTCCTCTCAAGGGCCCCTCCTGGGCTGGGGCTCGGTGCTCCATTTGCACCAAAGCTCAGCGGGGGCCCAGGTGCTGTTGGGCACTTTCCACCCAGCGGGGCGGCCGACGGATCTGGGATTCCAGCTGCCTTGCAGAGGCTGAAAGATGAGGGGATGCAGAGAATTTGATGGTGGACCTGGTGGCTGCAGTAGAACCACCCCAGAGCCCGACTTGGGTGCACTCTAAAACAGCTGTTGCCCGAGCATCCCACCTTGGGTCTCCTCTGACTTTGCAGCCAGACTTCAGAGTTTTTTTCTGTAAGAAGAGGCTCTGGTTTCTCTTTGGAATGAAATAGATTTTACTTCTAGTGCCAGG